GATGTGCTAAGAAAAGGAGCAGGCTGTTTTGACATCTTAGTTCATGCCATCCAATTTTCCTGTGGTTTGACCACATCCCTTTACACTTGCTTCTCAAGTATCTATCTCCCTTTGAAACATCCCAATCCCCAAATTGTGCTGGTGGTCCTTGTAAGACTGTACCTTTGAATGACTATTGCATAACAGGATTATTTTGCCTTTAAGGGAGGGAGCACTAGCTACCAGCTTTCTAACAAGATAATTGGTCCAGGGCTACACCTGTGCACCTCTTGGCAACCAGTGGCAAGGTTATAACCAAAGCACTTTATTGCACAAAAAGCTGCCGTTCGTCTTGTCTGTCCTGGCCCTTTGAAAGAGCAACCCATTTACCTACCTTTTTCCCGTATAAATTGCCCATCTAGTACTATGTGAATTATGTGGTATGGGATGACCTGAGCAAGAAGGTTCGGAGGTGGGGGAAGAAATGACTAAGTATCCACATTGTGCAGCAAGTTTCCATAGAACTTTTAAGCATCTCCAGGTGGGCAATGTATTGTTAGTGGCTTTCAGAAGGCAACATTTCTGGGTAGGGAGGTGAGCTAATTGGAATCTTCTTAGAGAAACTGGCTCATCTATAGGACTTGGGGAGGAAGAATTCTTCCTACTCCCACTTCATACTCTGCTCCTGTTAACCCTGCAAGCCAAAGCCCTAAAGGCCTTAGCTGGACAAGCAGCAGGAACAACAACAAAATTACATTTGTATAGCGCCTTTCACATCAGGAGGACATCCTGACGTGAAAGGCACTATACAATTGTAAACACTTGTCAGACAGTGTTTTCATGTGGTTTTAGCTGGTTAAATTCCAGCAGTACCTCAATGCACACTCTGGGCTCCCCACACCTTGGCTCTTGCCAACCCCCTAGTACTCCCTGGAATTAGGTAAACTGGATGCATGGGGAGAAAGTGTGCATTATATTCCAAACACAATGAATTTCCATGTGTTGTGGCTTGCATGGAACTCTGACTGGTTTGGATACTCTTAAGCATGGTGATGGGTTTCCATACATGCTGGATATCTGGCTGACCAAAAAAAATCAGTCTAAACTATTAGATGTTTAGCCAGGAGGGAGACGAGTCACAAAGCACACAGTTTAGGTAGACTAGATTAATTACTTCCGTTTTCAAATCTTGTATGGAAGAACACTTGCAAAAACATTCCTCCTCTTGCTCTCTTATTCCTCCTTTCTCTCTTCACCTTTCTCTCCCAAAGACCTGCAGCAGGAACTCAAAAGTAAGATTAAGATGTCTTTCCTAATTGAGTAATTATAATCATTGTGCTTGACATGGGACTGGGTGGGGAGAGGAAAGGGGTCTGTTTTGGGGTTTGGGCACGAGTATGGGCCCAAACCTTGCCCTCCCTCTCTTTCTTTCCCCCACCCCTAACCCTAACTCCTACTCCCACCTCAGGTACCTGTGCAGCATTGTAGAGCGCTTTGAGAAGTCTACCTGACGTGAAAGGTGCTTTAAATGTAGATTATTTACTGAGTTGCCAAATAGAAATTATTAGCTTTCCACATCTTCACAATCCTCTGAAAATATGCTTCCTGGTCTCAATTCTGATAGTGAAGAGGTGCCCACTATCTAACATATCAATTCCTTTCATTATATTAAATGCTTCCATTCAAATTACCCCTTAACATTCATTGTCATAAAGAATATAACTCGCAGCCTCTCATCATAGATTTTATTTTAGTTTTTGGAAAGTTGTGGTGAAGTACTTGAGAAGTAGCCTAACTGCTCAGTGTCCAATGTGCCTATGGCAGTCGAGCATTTAGTTCTTTGATAAATAATGAACTTGTGGGTATGTTAACACGTCTTGTGCAGATCACTATAATCTCTCGAAGGACTTGACTTCAGAGTGCCATAAAAATATTGGTTAATGGGTCAAGTTTAAGAATATGCAGGAAGGATAGTTTGGTGACCCTTTGACCTCTCAAAAATAGGTCTTATAAAATCATAAGTGGTAATCCTAGAGCTGAACAATGCAGCTTCTGGTATTGGAGTTGTATCACGTGCCTTGAAAAACTTTTTGAAGCAGTGGCTTGACTTAACCTTCTTGCTTGTGGGTCAGAAGGTTGAAGATGCACAACAATCTAAATAAGCGGTGGACAACTCTTACGGTCAGCCAACAAAATAAATTTTCTTGATTTATAATAATAATAATAAACCTTGCATTTGATATAGCGCTTTTCACGTCGGGAGGATGTCCCAAAGCGCTTCACAGAATATACTGTAAAGTGAATTGACTGTATATTTGTGGGCGAACGCGGCAGCCAATTACGCACAGCAATGTCCCACAAACAGTCATGGATTGGCAATGACCAATTTATTATTGTTTTTTTGGAGGGATTATTATTAGGTGTGTGGAGTAAGGAAACTTGCCCAAGGTTTCGCCCTGCTGGGAATTGAACTCAGGTCTCTCACTTGCAAAGCGAGTGCTCTAACCACTGAGCTACAGGACTCCATTTATGCCATAAATGAAGAAAAAAAATAAACTACCACTTCCAACAACAACAAAATTGCATTTGTAAATTGCCTTTCATGTGGGGAGGACATCCCAAGGCGCTGGACAGACCGAGAACTTGGACTTACCTAGACTTGTGCGAATGTTCAGTGGGGCCGTTTTGTGGCAGCTCTACGGGCCACAGATTGGCCACCACTGCTTTAGACTGACGCCTCAGTGCAGGACAGGAAGAATGCTGTATTAGTGGAAACACCATCCTTCCAGTGCGAAGTTAAACTGAGTTCCAGTCTGCCTGTTCAGATGATTGTTTAAAGATCCCTTGAAGCCATTGGAAAGAGAATGGAATTTCATCCCGCTTTGTGGCCAAGAACGGATTGGATAGCACGCACCTCTTCTCTGAGTTAGAATCTTGCTGTGCGCTTGCCTATAAAAACACTACACTTGATGTAATTATTCTAAAGCACTTTGAAACATTTCAATATGTTAAGATGCTATTAAAATACAAAGGTTTTCTTTCTATGGTCAAAAAACTGCTCTCTTCTAATTAGCGGTAACATCAATGATAAAAACGGTGTGGAGGCAAACCAGGAGAGAAGAGTCAGCCTGGTGTTTGACTGTATGATTCTCAGTATTCCTATCTTTCCTGCATTCCCACGCATATATTAATAAAAGGCTTATGGTCACAGTATTTGACTGCTCTACCTGATGAACTTGGCTGTCCTTCGGAGTTCTATACCGATACTTGAGAATAATGTCAGTCTAAATAATACGGGTTTACCAGGATTAGGCATGTGGTGGATTAGCTTTGGGTGCTAGTGCGAATTGTTGGAAAGCCAGTGTTGCCTGACACATCTGCCCAAACTGTTTTATGCAAATGTAACTTGATTGCTTATCGTGATATAAATAATATGGAAATAATTTGTCTGGAAACTTTCTCTCTCTATTTACTTAAATGAATTTGACTTTCTATTCAAATGAGCTGTCCACATCAATAAATGTATTGAATTTTTTTAAAAAAATCCTTAATTGGGTTATTTACTAAGTCGGTACAGTATCAAGTGGAGTCTGCTTGGAGCTGAACTGGCTTCAAGGTGACATGCCTGTCAATGGAATGTCAGAATCGAGCCAGCCCTCTGACAATCTCGGTAGTCCGGTTCCTGAGCCAGGCGGGTTGCAGTATTCCAGTGCCCTGCTGAAGACAGCACAGCCAGCTTGGCTCATTGGCAGGACCTGGAAGGGAAAACCAGTCACTGGGGCAGGGAGCCATCCCACTCAGCTCCCATTAACCCTAAAAGCCAAAGCCCTAACGGGTAGGGTGGTCCTAGGTGCACAAGCCGCGGGAAAGCTTGCCAGACAGCGATATCAATGGCAGATTATTCGATTTTAGCTGGTTAGACTCCCAACAATACCCCAACACACACTCTGAGAGCATCAAGTCCAGAATTAGGTAAGCAGGATGGTCCCTCCAGGGAACAGTGCTCATTCCATTCCAACAATCTATCTCTGGCATTTCCATGTGTAGGTGGGATGCGTGGAAATCTCAACTTGGTTGGGATGCTCTCAAGCATGGTGATGGGTTTCCACATGCATTAGGACACCAGGCTGACAAAAAAAATTATCTCCCAAAGGATCATAAATTTACTTTATGTTTTGCAAAAGTGATTTTCAGTCCAGCCTGCCCTCTTATAAGTCTTACAGACGCTGATAATTCACTAGTGCATTTTTGTGCTTGTGCATTTTTGCCCACAAAATACAAACTTTACAATATATTACAATATATTCTGTGAAGCTCTTTGAGATGTCCCAATGATGTGATGAAGAGCTATATCAAATGCAACGATTATTATTATAGTAGACTAAGCCAGATCTCCATGTTTAGGCCAGGAACATATCCATTTACATCCTAGCTGTGCACTCAGAGTTCCTTTGTAGTGGATGAAGGCACTGCCTAGTTTAGTACCCATACCAGCAGGTGACAGATTTCATTTCATTGGTCTACTGATCTCAGTCATCTGCCAGAAATCTGTGTAATGCAAAATGCTCACATGTGAACATTGATGAGAACAGAATCTGACTGTAACTTACTCCTCCTTGTAGGCAGCATTGCAATAAGTTTTGGCACTTGTATGAAGTAACAGAGCTTTCAGTGTCTGTGAAACTGTACCCCAGTATGAATGTCACTACATTCTAGGATTGAGAAGATGGCAGCTTTTTTTAAGCAAGCGCACAGAATAGCCAAGATGGCAGAGCAAGCTGCTTCTCCTATTCGTGGTACTCTGCCTTCATATGCAGAAGTTTAATTCTGAGTTAATCATCACTTGTGGAAGTGCGCATTAACCCATAAGACCCACGGGCTGGGCCAGTAGTTTTTCCAGTTCCTTCTGTTTCTGACAACCAGGTGGTCAGCTTTATGAAACATTTGTACTTGCTGCACTCTTAACATTTAATAATGATATCTTCTGCTTCCCTCTCTTTTCCGCACCCACATCTGCACAGGGAATTTGAAAGAATGGATTAAAGAAGCACCAGTGGGTCTTGAAGTCCACTTCAAAATGGCTACTTCCAAATGAGCCTGACACTGGCACCAGGAGCATGTCTGCTTGACAGGACAAGCAAGAGCTGCAGGGACTGGCATTGCATCGAGAGGGGCTTGGTTGGTTTTTTACAGCACACCACAACGGGTAGGAAGTTTACCATGGTAACTGTCATCACGGAGCAGCTACAGAAGCAGAGTTTGGATGACCTGGCTTGTAAAGCCCTCAACTTTAATCTGGTAAGATCTGCAAGCAGTGGAGGTATTTTATTGCACACTGTGTAGTAATTGAGCATTTGGTCTAACATTACTGGCTAACTTTTTATATGTGCTCGTCAGTCCTTCGTTTGGGTTCTGATTGAAGCACAAGAGTAGTAATTTACTCCAATCTCAATCTGATGCTAGTGTCTCCGTGAGCAAGGATACTTCCCACTCCCCTCTTTTTAACCTTGCAAGCCAAAGACTTAATGGGCAAGATGCTCCTAGCTGGACAAGCTTACCAGACAGTGCTCACAATATGTTGCTCTGTATTTTTAGCTGGTTCAACTACAGCAGTACCCCAATATCCATTCTGAGGTCTCCAAGCCTCAGCTCTTGCTAACAACCTATGCCTTATGCTAATGTATAGAATAATGCTTCAGTTATGAGTTTCTACCAGCAGATCATCAAATTGTGCAGTAGAGTTACTGGCTGTTGAACTTTGGGCAGTGCAGCAAAATTGGGATGTTAATTTTTTGAGGGATTGGATAGATTATTAACTGGGGTAAGATTACAGAGTTTTATTTCAATTAATCAGGACACAATCTGTGGTGTAGTGGAGTCCTGTAGTATAGTGGTTAGAGCACTCGCCTCGCAAGCAAGAGGAACCTGGGTTCAATTCCAAGCAGGATGAAACATTGGGCAAGTTTCCTTACTCCATATGCCTCTGTTTACCTAGCAGTAAGTAGGAACTCGGTTGTTAGTTGATCGGTGGATCACTTTTCCGGGGGTAATAATTCTTTCCAAAAAAAAAAGTAATAATTTTGGTCACTCTATCCACGACTGTTTGTGGGACGATGCTGTGCGTAATTGGCTGCCGGGTTTTGCCCACAAAACACAGTCAATTCACTTTACGGAATATTCTATGAAGCGCTTTGAGAAGTCTGGAAGGCGTAAAAAGGCACTATATCAAATGCGAGTATTATTGTTATGCCTTGTTAAAGGTTGCTATATGGTTCTCATGCAATGTTTTCTTTCCCCTTTCTTCTGCCCCCTCAAAATTTAGATTTTACAGTTGATACAGGGGGATCAAATTAATCATCTAATTTGGAGATCTCAATTTGTATCCCAATCTCTCCATTAAGGGATCGAAAAATGCTATGTATTGGTTTACACATTGGCTTATGTGGAGGTTGTTTCCAGTCTCCTACAAGATTGGGACTTTATGTTCTCCTAGCGCAGCATGCTGGTTCCACAATATATTATATCTTTTACTTTTAACTGGCTGTGAAGTTAACTTGGGAACCTTAATGGTTCCATAAGCTATTATTTGGATTTTCTCTGGCTTCTGTTGGCAAGCTAAATTGCTGCTGATAGAACATTTATCGTTCATTCTTGGTTGATTTTTGGTCCTTCTGTTCCTTGTAACTGATTAACTTTTTTTTTCATGCTTTCAGCCTCTGCCTGAAAATACAAACCAAGGTGGCTGCTGGAATCCATACCATTTCATACCAGGTAGGTGTGCTTACCGTTTGGACTGCAATATCTGGCTGGTATATCAAATGTCCAAATAAACTGCGGCCATCAGGAATAAGACAGGTTTGTTACCCTAAGCCAGATGTGGCCAACCTGTGGCCCGTGGACCAGAAGTTGCCCACGAGGCTGTCAAAAAGTGGCCTGCTGAACATCCGCACGAGTCTAGGTAAGTCTGTGTTCGATCAATAGTGTTTTCAGTTCTTTTTTTCTTGATTTAATATTTTTTGGCTGTCCATAAAGGTTGATGTCCACGGCCCTAGGCAGAGCATTGTTAAGTGAGTCGGTGTGCTGATCCTGAATCTTCCTAGTACTACTGAATATAACCATATACATTTTGTTTTCTTTTCCACTCTACAATGTGCATGTATACTTTGTTGTGTGTGAGATAGTGCGTACCAAATGCAGTGGTGTTTGAATACACCTGGTGGTGAATCATGGGTCACTGGTTAGTTGAGTAGCACTCTGGCGTGACACTATACTGAAGCTGATATTTGTTTTTGATTTTTGTGCCCTGAATATGCACCTATTTCCTCTCCTAGACCATCTGTGAAAGGCATTGTTCTGAAACAGTTCAAAGTAGCATTCCAACAGTTTGTCATTTGCTGGTGGGACCTAGGGTAGAATGCTAATCTTTCACTATGGGTTAGAAACTGGTGGGTGAAAATGTTCTTTCTGACAGTTTACTATAGTGTTGGGAAAGCAACCCTGTGTATGTTCAGTTGACTGGGTTTTTATACCTTTCTCCTGAATTCTGCTTCTAATACTATCTAAATTAGTGCACCTTCTAGCTAGGTAATTCAGGGGGTGAGGGGAGGCGGAGATTATTGTTAGATGTTGATCAGGAGCCCTTGATGTTTTCCCTCTTTCTTGGTAACCCAGGGATATTTCCAAATTGTCTTGGCTAAAATCTACCTCGCCACAGACTGGGATTTTAATGTGCAACAATGTAGAGCTTCTTGTGGGTTTTTTGACAAGTAGATCTTATATTCACCTTCATGTCCCAACTAATTCAGTTGTAAAAAATGTTCATTAGTTCCTCTTGATCTGCCATTGCCAGTTTCTGTTCTGCAACAGTTTGTCCAAACTGATTTATCTAATCATATGATATACTAAATCTAGCTATCAGACCCTCCCTTATTAACAAAGAGTTAGTCAAACTCCTGTGTTTCTTTATATGTTAATCTGAGCCAGGTTGCAAAAGAACAAGAGGGAAGACGAGGAGACTCTTTTTTACATTGCGAGTTGATGCAATCTGGAATGCACTGCCTGAAAGGGTGGTGGAAGCAGATTCAATAACTTTCAAAAGGGAATTGGATATGTACTTGAAAAGGAAAAGTTTGCAAGGCTATGGTGAAAAAGGAGTGGCACTAATTGGATAGCTCTTACAAAGGTCCAGCACAGACATGATGGGCTGAATGGCCTCCTTCTGTGCTGTAAGATTTCCATGATTCTAGGTTCCTGCAACTCAAGATGGCTCAAGGAACCAAATGAGGATTTTTTTTTAAAGTGCCAACTCAACTTGAGCAACTGATGCTACTTGTCTATTGTGGGTTTGTTGGTATAAGCAGGCCCATTGATGCTGGCAAATGCCATAATGATTGGCATGAAATCCTGACTACAAACTTACTGTCATGACAACAATTTCACGTTTTTCTTTTTTGGCATTTTCAGGCACATGGTGCCTTTCAGTCATCTGATCTTATGTTGCCTCTGCATTGATTTGGTACCATCCAATGAATGCCTCACACTTTATGCCAATAACACTATGTTACATGTGCAAGTTCCTTTAGACTTCCTAATCTATCCCCTTCTCTTCTTTTTCCCCCTCTCCCCATCCACCCCCAATAAATCAGCATTCTCAAACCCAAAAGAATGCAGGAGCTAAGTTACTTGATATTCTGGCATATGGTCAGAGGGGAACAAGAAAAGGCTTCTAAAGGGGCTTGCCATGAGTGAAGCTTATGACTAATAGTGTCTCGTGTGGTGAATCCATAAATTCTTCAACAGAAAATTGGATACTGATATTTCCACTATGGCTGCATGAGAGTCTCGAACAATGCTCTGGGTTACAACCACACCATGAACGATGTCTCAGTCAAGGAAGCTTGACTTCAAATGGTTGTTCCTTGTTTCAGACTCTGAGATGATGTCAGAGGAATGCAAATGGCTTTTGGAAACTGGCTATGGTGATTTCTGATTCCTATCTGTTTGCTCAAACATTCTTTTGTCACAAGGTGTGAAACCTCAATTTTCAAGGTTCGATTTTTTTTAAAAAAAGAGAAAGCTATCCCCCATTGGCCAAATAGGATATGATGCTTTATCAGGTCATTTTGGAAAATACTTAGTGTTATTTGTAAAGCTGAACCTGAACATTGACACTCCTGTACAATACTGGGGGAGTGCGTAATTCTCAGAGGTACTGACCTTTGCATGAGATGTTGAACTGCGTCCTGCCTGTTCAGAAAGACTTCAAAGATCCTGTGACACAAGAAGGCAATTTCTACCAGTCTTCTGGCCACCAAACCTCCATTAATTGGTCATTTACCTTTGGACGCTTGTGGGATCTTGCTTTATGCAAAATGGCTGCCTCATTCGATTACAAACAGTTAACACTTTGAGTAATTGTGAAGTTCTTTGACATGAGAGCTCTTTTTCTCTTTGAAGATTGTAGGATTTCAGGAGGTTTTCTGTTTTAGGTGAACTGCACTTAGCCTGATGCCACTTTTTATTGCATGTAAGTTAGGGGGGGGAGAGAAGAGAGGACATGCTAATAAAAACAACAAAATTACACTTACGCCTTTCACGTCGGGAGGACATCACAAAGTGCTGAACAGTCAGGTGTCGGGGCCCGAGCATGGGGGAGGGATGGTGTAGGGGTGAGGGAAGGCAGAGAGGTGGGAGGGCGACCGAAGGCACAATCGAAGAGAAGGGTTTTGAGACTGGCCTTGAAGGAGGCAAGGGAGGAAGTTAGGCGAAGGGACCATGGGATGGAGTTCCAGAGTGTGGGGGAGGGGGGCTCAAAGCCCGGCCACCGATGGTAGGGAGGGAGACATGGCAGACTGTAGCCCGCTGAACGGAGGGAGCGGGCAGGTTGGTAGGGAGTCAGCAAGTCAGAGAGGTAGGAGGGGGCAAGGCCACAGATGGACTTGAAAGTGAGGAAAGTGATAAATTCTTCCATAACAATTTATTTATTGCTGTTTCCACTGAAATTGTAAGACTCAATGCTGTAACCCCACCCACCCCAATCATACAGGAGCAGAAGAATGTTAAACCAGTTGTGCTACGTTCCAGTATTGTTGCTGAGCCAAGCACTGGTTTGGGTTATCTGGATAATCTATTACACAGTCTTAGCTACATTGCAAAGCAGGTTCCTGTGGTTGGATCAAACACCAAGTAACCATCATGTCAAACTCTGAGGTTTGGCCAAAAAGCCCAATATTATTTTCTAGTTGTGCTGAATAATGAGGGAATGGAGTGGAAGAGTTATAAGTTTTTTATGAGTTTAAATTATACAAGTTATTCCTTTCGCTGAACAACTTGCATTTATAAAGTTGCCTGTGTGGGACACACAGGAACATCTATCTCTGAGTTTGTTGCAGTATCGTTAAATGATGGAACTGTTTTCATACAATGTCAGTTTGGCCATAGAATTAATAATCCATGCATTTGATATAGCGCCTTATCATGTCTTTGAGATGTCTCAAAGCTCTTCAAAGAGTATAGTGTCAAGTAAATTTATGGGTGAAATGCAGCAGCCAATTGCACACAGCAGTGTCCCACAAACAATTATGGATAGAGTTACCAAATTATTATTTCATTTATTTCTGAAGGGATTATTACCCCCGAAATATGATTGACCAATCGACTAAAAACTGGGTTCAACAACAACATCTTGCATTTACATAGGTAGTGTCCTGGAGTCCTTGACAGTTGTGGAGACTGACACTGAGCCAGAGGGAAGGGCGAGGTGACCATAAGCATGATCAAAAAAGGTCTTCAGGCAGGATTTGAAGGTGGGGAAGGAAGGGACAAGGCGCAGGGAGAGAGCTCCAGAGTTTCAGGGCATGGTGGCTGAAGGTATGGCCACCGATGGTGGAGGGGATGAGGGCCAAACAGGAGGCTGAGCCAGCTGAGCGGAGGTTGAGAGGGGGGTAAGCAGATCGGATAGGTAGGGCCGTGCCAAGGCATTAAAGGATTTGAAAATGAGAGGATCTTAAAATCGATCAGTTCAGTAATTGGGAGCCAGTGGAGCCTGGCAAGGTCTAGTTTGATGGGAGTACGGAGCTTTGTGTGGGTGATTATCTGAGCGCCAGAGTTTGGGATTAATTGTATTTTGTGTATGGTGGAGCTGAAGAGACCAGCAAGGAGGGCACTGGAATAGTCCAGCCGGGAAGTGATGAAGGCCTGGATGAGGATTTCGGCTGTTTTTGTTGTGAGATACGGATTGGGGTGGGCGATATGACGGAAGTGGAAAAAAGCAGTCCTGGTCAGGGAACGGATGTGTGATGGAAAAGAAAGCTGGAGATCGAACCTGACGCCTAAATTGCACACGGGTTTGATGAGTCTGAAGGAGAGCCCAGAGAGGTGAGGAGTACAGTCCGTGAAACAAGCTGACCAGACATCAGCTTACTGGGAGTCGCAGCTGGAGGAGGAGAAGTAGAGTTGAGTGTCATCCGCGTACATGTGAAGTTGATCTTATGTCTGCAGGTGACATTGCCTAGAGGGAGCGTGTCGCTGAGAAAAAGAAGCCAAGGATGGAGCCTTAGCATACCTCACAGTGACCGGGCAGGGGCGAAAGGGAAAAACATCTGCTGAGATGTATTGTTGCCAGTAGGACTAAAAGCATACGAGTGCGGTCCCACTAAGGTGGATGAGGGAGGAGAGGAGGATGGTGTAATCAACGGGCGAATGTGTTAGAGAGGTTCAGGAGAATGAGGCAGAGAGAGCCCTGGTCACAGAGAGAGAGGATATAATTTGTT